AATTAAATATAATAGGAGCATTCGATCGAACACTACATTAGATATGAATCTTGATTTAAGATGTAAAGGTGATCAATATGTGATATTATTTAGCCCTAATACTTGTTAATTAATTAATCTATAAACTAATATGGTGTACGTCTACTTATTTCTACGTATTTAGATTAAAAATCATAACATAAAAATTTTCATTTGTTTTCATCAAACAGAAGTTAGAAAAAATTAGATTAAAGGCTAGAGTATAGTCCTTGTGGGAACGATAATCCGGACTCATAAGTCTATTATATTACTATTTCGATATTGTACACTTGCGATATTAAAAATGCAACACCCTTCAAGTCGACTGCCTTCAATTTCTAACCTCTATTGCAGTTATCCACCCACAAGGAAACTTACGACTGGGAAGATAATGGTATATAACATTGTTTTAGGTTACCAATAATTGGGCCAAAGACACTTCACTCAAGTACCCCAACTAACCACAAAATGGACCACAAACTAAATAGTTTAATACCAAAAACCTAAACCTAACTTAGGCTAACCTAAAGTGTATTGGTTGTTTCCGGATTGAGCCAAGTTTATGATATCGATAAATTATCCGTGAATTGTTTCAAATCATCACCCAGATTGTTGGGTATCAAAACCCAACAGCCTTCTTATTTGCTATTGGTGCCACAACCACCTATGCAACTATAAAGTATAGGTTGCTTAACTTGAGCCAAAATTAATGCATCAAAGCCCAGAACAATAGTTATAGGCTGGTAATTGTGGAGGTAACTTTGTGTCCTATTATGTTGTCACCTAGAATGAGTTGAAGTTACTATTTGGTTTCACACTCGAATCATTTATACCCCTTGAATTTGCTTATAAAGGCTTCGATGAGATAACGAGTTAAATGTTTCAAAACTCATTGAACTCATACATTGGTCACGAACTATTCGCTAAACTTCAAGTTGCTTCAACTTACTCATTGAACTTATCTCGTTTGTATTCCATCCATTACTGATTAAAAGCTGTTAGAGTGTGTTTGATTGCTAATATTTTTCATGAAAAATGTGTTTTTCACTCAAATTTTTACTTTTGTGCTGTTTAATTGACATTTTATTCATGAAAAATATTTTTCTAATTTTGGTCTCGTGACCATGTTTTCCTCAAAATCAAAGAAAATATTTTTTTAGGAGGAGTATGATTTTATTTTTCAAGGATTCCACTCTCTATTTCTCTTTCTTATCAATCCATTCTCTCTCATCTACCTACTAATAAAAAATTAACAAATATAAATTTTCCAGATTGAAAACTAAATCAATCAAACACATTTAATTAATAATTTTCATACAAATAAGTTCTAGGCAATTAATTGCCTTGAACTTATTTTCTTTCAATGCAAATTTCATGCTCACAATCAAATACACCCTTAAATCTTTTGTTGATGTGGAGATCGATAATCTTGTATGGCCACTAAATGCGTGCCACATAAATCAAAATACCCAACTCACATTTTAAATTATTTTAAAACAAAAATAAAAAATAAAAAAAATGAAATGAAATTCAAAAGCTTTAATTGAGTTACTAAGTACGATTTTGTCATTAATGGAACACTTTAATATATATATATATATATTGAACTCATATATTCTTGACGAGTTAATTGTTCCAATGGTCACTGAACTTAGGTTTATGTTTTTTATTGGTTATTGAAATTTAAAATGTCGAGCTTTGGCCACTGAACTTATGTCCATGCCTTCAATTGCTCACCAAAGTTTAAAATGTTGAGTTTTGGCCATTGAACTCTAAAAAAATGTTGTACATTACACATTGCAAATTTGACATTTTTCAAATTTCAACATTTATGCTAATGATTAACATACATCATTTTCCAAAGTTCAGTGGTTAAACCTCGACATTTTAAACTTCAGTGAACAATCAAAGACATGAACCTAAGTTTAATGACCAAAATTTGACATTTTAAACTTCATTGACCGATCAAAGATATGGACCTAAACTTAGTGACCATTGGACCAATTAATTCTATTCTCGACCTAACATTAGATCCCCAAAAATTCCAAATTTCCCTAAATCGCTCAAGAACCCTAGTCCCAAATCATCATATTCTCTATAAACCCTACCCAAATCTTCATCTTTTTCTAAACCCATCCGCCGTAGTCCATAAATCAGGAGCTCATAATCAATGTGTCGATCCCCGAAGAAGGTAATCGCTTACCATGTAAGGGACAGAGTTTGCAGTGACAATGTCTGAATCATCTTGACGGAGAGGCATACAAAGCTTGTGCTAATGTGGTCAATTGGGATGTCCAAGGACTTCATGGACGAAAATGAATCCTCAGCTGGAGGTTTATTGGATGTCAAACTGATATCTAATGACTTGTGGTTAGTCGTTCAGTGATTACAATTCTTGACAGCCAACCATAACTTGTAAGTTTCAAAATTCATCATCTTCTGTAAACAAGTAAGTTTAATTCAATTTTCATAAACAAGACCTTCAATACAAAAGAAAATACGTTGCCTGGAAAATTAGTTCAATTTCCAAAATACGCTGCCCAAGAATGACTTTCAATTTTATTTCCATTCAAGTCAAAAGAGAGAGCACTGCCCAGAATGACATACATATAGTTGCCTAGACTAACAATATTAAAAAACTAGTACATTTCCATAAACATTCAGTTTCAGCCCTTGAATCCAATCGATAAAAAATTGTTTAATCCATTACTATCATTTTACATTTCAAGCTACCTTCAATGACACAAAAGTAGTAGCTTTCTACAATTCAATTTCTGCGAGAAGTGGCTGCAGCTGTGGTTGCACATCTTCGTGAGTAAAATCTAGCGGCCTGTAGCTGTGAAGACTCATTGACGTCTAAAAGAGTTTATTATGCACTCTCTCTCTATCTCTCAACAATGGAGTGCACTTTTCTACTGATTTTAGGGCAAATTTGACCTCCATAACGACTCATTTTTTCTCGCCTCATCTGAATTCGCTTCATGAATGTCATCTAAATGGATGTAAGTATGTTCAAAATCATTTTTCCCAATTAAAGTCTTGTTGAAAACCTCACAGACATTGTTCAGAAAGATGTCACATTTTGAATACATCTCGAAATGTGAGTTGCTCCATTCATGGAAGGAGGTCCTTCTACCCACCAAAGAAAAAATCCTCGCTTACACTCCATATTTGTTGCATCCAGTGTTTGCAGTCTACAATGGTAGTAGACTTTGTGGCATGCCATAGATAATCTTTCAATGTTTTATCTTTGAGATTAGCATTGAAAAAATTAGAGTGCATGTGGTGCACACAGAACCTATGCTCAGCCGCCGGAACAATTCTTCGACGACATTTTGCAATCCTTTCTATCAATCAGTCATCAAAGTCAGCCACTCCCATTGCAAATATGAACATCACTTTCGAAATGAGTCATGAACCACTTTCATGCTAAAGTGTTCTCTTTCTAAACTATGGCGTATGCGATAGGATATATACAATCATTTGTATTGTGACCAACGACGGTCAACATTATTCCACTGAAACATCCCTCTAACTGGCATCCACCTACTCGGATAACCTTTTTACAACTTTGATAAAACCTATCTTGCATGCTTCAAAACATATGTAGATACCCTGGGAAACTTGATTGTTGATCGCAATGTATATGGTTAAACATAGGTTAGTCCCATAAACTTTCGCAGCATAGGACCACAACTTACCAAATTGCTCCTCAATTGTTCCAAGCAACAATTCCTTTGTATACCATCTCATCTTCCATGCCACATTTCAATAATATCAATCTTCAAGTCTTCCTTCATTGCCACAAGTATACTATTTGTCTTCCAGTTTAAGTCCACCTTGAAATGCTCAATGTAACGATTAGTCATGAAAACATAATTGCAATATTTGTTGTACTGGTCTCAACTATATGTGTACTCCCAGGTATAAGTCTTAACTTGGAGATTGCATGTTATTCCCACACTAGATGCCATCCAACTGCAACCTAGTTTCCATATTCCATGCACTCGTTTTTCATTATTAGTTTTAAATCTGATATTATACCCATTCAAAGCTCCATATGTTCTTACTGCCTTTCAAAATTTTACAACACTCCTAAATAGCTAACTAACAACGAATTGTGGATTACTCATATTAGCAACCGCCAAAAACTATGGAAATCGATACCCAACCTCGTCATTGGATGGACAATTGGACACAAGCTCTTCAGAGGACAAGTACTCCAAATCAGCAATATGCATCAACTTCAACATCATGCTTATTCATACCATCTAGTTCACCCACATTCGAACCTACCTCAATCCCATCTATAACGTTATGTTCATACAAATTATCATCTCCTTTGGAGTCTAACTCATCTCCAGGATCATTGAAATTTGGGTCCTCTCCTAAGCAATATTTAGTCTCCTCAATGTTGTTTCTATCTACATTAAAGAATTGAAAACATCGAAAAATAGCCAAAGAAATCATCATATAAATTCAACATTGAAATCAGACAATACATTTCAAAAAACTTGTAGCCCATAAATTAAATAACTATAACCATGAAGCCAACAAAAAGCCTATAAACTTTAGTAATCATAACCATAAAGTTCAATAAAATTCAAAAATCAGACTTTGATGCGGCCAAAAAATAATGAAATAATATCATACTTGTAGACCACAACCATAAAGTCGACAATTGTCAAACAAATCCAACAGAAAATGATACTTACACGACTGACACCACGCTAGAAAATAGCCAAAAAAATAGAAAAAAGTGATTGTGGTTACCTTCTTGTGGTTCCTCCGTGTGCCTATTCGTCAATTATTGAGCATGTGGGGTTGATTGTGGGGGACAGAAATCCAAGTTTGAGGTTAGGGAATAAATTTGGGACTAGGGGTTGTGATTTGGAAGAGATTTGGAGGGTGTATTCAATTGAAACTTTTAGAGACTTTTAAAAAGTCTTTACAAGTCACAGGGTATTCAATTGAAACTTTTTATGAGTCTCTACAAGTTTCGAGGTATTTAATTGAGAACGACTTTTAGGAAATTTCTAATTTATTGGACTTTGAGACGCTTTTTGTTAGAAAATATAAATAGCAATCTCAAAAGAAAATCTCATCTCCATCAAGAGATTTCTTGCCCAAGCCGTATTCTTTTTTCCTCTATAGGGTTTTCTCCTTCAATCTCTTCCAATCAGGTAATAATTTTCTTTGAGCTCTGTGTTTTTCTTCATTAACAGGTACATCTCTATCTCTCATTTTCTGTTTGATTTATGGATACACCCATCTCCAAAATTGCTATAACTTTTCTTTTAGGTTTCGTTGGTAAAATATCTGGTTATTTAGCAATGGAAGCAAAGGATTTGAGGCTTCTAAAAAAATTGAAAGATTTGAGGTATTTAATTGAGAACGACTTTTAGGAAATTTCTAATTTATTGGACTTTGAGACGCTTTTTGTTAGAAAATATAAATAGCAATCTCAAAAGAAAATCTCATCTCCATCAAGAGATTTCTTGCCCAAGCCGTATTCTTTTTTCCTCTCTAGGGTTTTCTCCTTCAATCTCTTCCAATCAGGTAATAATGTTCTTTGAGCTCTGTGTTTTTCTTCATTAACAGGTACATCTCTATCTCTCATTTTCTGTTTGATTTATGGATACACCCATCTCCAAAATTGCTATAACTTTTCTTTTAGGTTTCGTTGGCAAAATATCTGGTTATTTAGCAATGGAAGCAAAGGATTTGAGGCTTCTAAAAAAATCGAAAGAGTTTCGAGGTATTTAATTGAGAACGACTTTTAGGAAATTTCTAATTTATTGGACTTTGAGACGCTTTTTGTTAGAAAATATAAATAGCAATCTCAAAAGAAAATCTCATCTCCATCAAGAGATTTCTTGCCCAAGCCGTATTCTTTTTTCCTCTATAGGGTTTTCTCCTTCAATCTCTTCCAATCAGGTAATAATTTTCTTTGAGCTCTGTGTTTTTCTTCATTAACAGGTACATCTCTATCTCTCATTTTCTGTTTGATTTATGGATACACCCATCTCCAAAATTGCTATAACTTTTCTTTTAGGTTTCGTTGGCAAAATATCTGGTTATTTAGCAATGGAAGCAAAGGATTTGAGGCTTCTAAAAAAATCGAAAGAGTTTCGAGGTATTTAATTGAGAACGACTTTTAGGAAATTTCTAATTTATTGGACTTTGAGACGCTTTTTGTTAGAAAATATAAATAGCAATCTCAAAAGAAAATCTCATCTCCATCAAGAGATTTCTTGCCCAAGCCGTATTCTTTTTTCCTCTATAGGGTTTTCTCCTTCAATCTCTTCCAATCAGGTAATAATTTTCTTTGAGCTCTGTGTTTTTCTTCATTAACAGGTAAATCTCTATCTCTCATTTTCTGTTTGATTTATGGATAAACCCATCTCCAAAATTGCTCTAAATTTTCTTTTAGGTTTCGTTGGTAAAATATCTGGTTATTTAGCAACGGGAGCAAAGGATTCGAGGCTTCCGAAAAAAATCGAAAGATTTGCACAAAGGGAATGCCTCTTGAGATTGATTGAGAGCCGTCCACAGAATCGTGTTAGCCACTGGGGCTATTTTTTGCATTTATAATTGAAGAGTGAGGAGAAGTGTGAACTGATACCCTAGCCTAAACCTATCTGTCGCCCACGAGTTTTCCTTTCTTTACGTATGGGTTTGGTTTTGATCTAGGATTTATATAATCTAGGAATTTGTTTTGGGGAGAAAAATGAACTAAATAAGTAAATTTCTTGAGTTATAATAGATGACACAGAAATATCAGTAAGGAATAAGGATTTGTGACTTTTTGATTGTTGGAAATTAGCTATTGTCCTAAGGAGCTGCATCCACAACCCGTTGTTGATTATTTCAGTTATAATTCTCTTTAGGATGTAGTTAGGTGTTAAGATCTTGAATTATAAGTCTATGGATGTCTATTTTGTTGTTTTCTGATTAACAAGTCTATGGCTATCTATAAGTCTCTTTAATTAGGATTCAGCAGGGAATAAGGATTAATATTGTCACTATTTTGCTGTACTCATTTCAAATACATTTTTTGAAAAGTCCAAGGAATAAACTATCTAGAAAGTATGATAACAGATTCACTTGCTTCCGAAACTCAAGTACAACTGTAGACACCACACTGGGTAATATGAAGCAAAATCTAACTATAGAATCAGAAAACTATAATGTAAATGCCTTGGTCCTTGGTCAAAAAATTACCCAGCTTAAAGACCAAGAGTCATCTCACTTTAAGAAGGAATAAGTTATTCTAATGAAGCATGTGTTCATACTGCTTTACAAGATATATTAGTTAAAAGCACAACTAAAAGACCTATTTCTAAATCTTGTGAAATAAGTACAAAAAAAGGAGGAAAAAAGAAAAACATATCCAATGTCTGTTATTTCCTAGACATGTAAAGCAATAATTTTGAAATACATATACCAATTTTGTCCATTATCCACTCCCACCCCACACGCCCATACACACAAAAGCAAGGGGAAAAGGACCCTTTGTATTGATTGCAGCAAATTCTATTGAATTTTGATGCAATTTTCTTTACTTTTTATATCAATAAAATCATGATGTATATCATTTTGTATTTGCCTAATTATTTGTTCTCTAATTATATGACACTAGTTTTAATGGAAGATTCAACACAAGGAAATGACAAGGTTCAAGGAAGATGTACCGAAAAATATGAGAAGTGGATGTGGGAAGAAAGAAATAAGCTTTTAAAACTTGTGGTTGATGATGCCACACGTGGTTGGCGGGACAGTAATGGTGTGTTGAGCAAGATAACTGTTGAAAAACATATACTTCCTCATCTTAACCAAAAACTTGGTGCTGAAAAGACCTATTCCCAATATAAAGGTCGTATAAAATGGTTTAAAAAACAGTACAACAAGTATTCTAAACATATGCATCATAACTATGGATTTGGATGGGATCATGTGACGAAGAAATTCACTGCTAGTAATGAAGTATGTGAAGATTACTTTATGGTGAGCTTCATATATTACTTAATTTAGAAAAATATGAAATTTGAGTTATTGGTTAGTGATGTGTATGTTTCATATATTAGCACTTATAATTATTTTTTCCTTTAATAGTCTCATCCCGAAGATAAAAGTTATCGCACAGACACTTTTCCAGACTATGAAGATTTGAGAATTGCAGTTGGAAGTGAGAAAGCTGTTGGGACACATTTAATTGCATTAGGGGATGATACTAATGCAAGAACATTTCACACTAAAGAAAAAAAAAGTTAGTGACGGTTTAATAGACGACTTCATGTATGATCCTGATACCGAGGCATTTATAGTAACCGATAAACAAGATCCTATAAGTTCAGAGGTTTCCCCATTAATTTGAAAATGAAGTAGAACAGAATTTGAAGCAAAATCTAGTTCATTTGAGCCCAAAACTACACAGCCAAACATGATAGACAAACTTGCTAGTACAATTGACAAGATCACCCAAGCAATTGAATCAATTGACACTAGAGAACATAATTTTTGGAACATTATCAAGAAGATCCCAAACTTGGATGATGATGATTGTTTCAAGGTCCTTGATTTGCTTAATACAAAAGCATAAAAGTCTGAGTTCTTGAGCATGACGCCAGAAGAATGTTCCAAAATGGATAACATTTAAATTAAATTGACGCTTTGTTTTTTGGATATGATTGGTAGTAATTTTTGAAGTTTTTGAATTGTTCTTAGATTTATTCATTGACTGTATTTTTGATATTTTATGAATTTGATAATTGATTCGTCTTTACATGACATTATCATTTTCTCTATCTATGTATTTAATTTTTGTTCACTCTATTTTTAGGTACTTCCGTATATATAATGTCTAATGTTAACATACATGAAGATCATGAAAAAGAGGTGGATGAGATTGAAGAAGATAACTATAAGGAAGCATTATATGAAAACATTCGGTATTTATGGATGGGAATTCAAGCAATTCTCTACATGATAAATGATTATACAAATAATATGTGTTGTGCACATACTACACATTCACTAACTAGGCAACCAAAAATTAGATATGGATATGACTATATACATAAAATATTAAAGGAGGATCCAGAAAACTTTCGACAAGTTTATAGAATGTATCCAAATGTATTTCTAAAATTAAGCAATATCATTAGAGAAAAAGGGCTCTTACAAGATACTAGGTATATTTGTATTGAAGAAATGCTTGCAACGTTCCTACTCATTGTTGGTCAAAATACTTGATATTGCTTGATTCGTCAAAAATTTGGCTGATCGCATTTCACTACCAGCCGAAGTTTCAACAAGATTTTACAGACGTTAAACAAATGTGCAGTAGATATGATGGTCAAATCGGGATCCGTTGTGCCAGAAAAAATAAGGGAAAGTACAAGATTTTACTCTTACTTTAAAGTAAGTGATGAAATAAGATTTATTATAATTTTTTTTATGTTATTAATAGTGTTCTCATGATTTCTTTCTACTATTTTATTATTTTTAGAATTGTATTGGAGTCATTGATGGTACCCATATTCCAACAACGATATCTGGACGTGATACAAGCAGTTATAAAAATTGTCATGGAACAATTTCTCAAAATATTTTGGCTGCTTGTAACTTTGATTTGGAATTTATATATGTAATTAGTGGGTAGGAGGGATCAGCACATGATTCTAAAGTGTTGAGTGATGCTTTGACAAAGAGAAATGAACTTAAAGTGCCACAAGGTACTACTTTGTCATTTCCTTTTTTTTTTTTTATCTTATTGTATCATAATTACTTGTTAATTTTACAAGTATTTTATGTGCAGGTAGATATTTTTTGGAAGACTGTGGATTTCCAAATCGACGTCAATTTTTAACTCCTTTTCGAGGTGTCCGTTATCATCTTTAAGATTTTGTTGGTCAAAGTCGTGACCCTGAAAATACAAAAGAGTTGTTTAATCTTCATCATGCTTCCTTGAGGAACGTAGTTGAGAGGATATTTGGTATATTTAAATCAAGATTCACAATTTTCAAAACAGCTCCTCCATTTCCATATCGTACGCAAGCGGAACTCGTATTAGCTTGCGTAGGATTACACAATTTTCTCCGTAAAGAATGTCGTTCCGATGAATTTTCAATTGAACCTGATAACGAAGATCCTTCATCTTTTTCGATTAATGAAGGAAAAAACTTTGGACCATTTTTTAAGAGTTAAGAACAAGAAAGAGGTAATGCTAATGCATGGAAAGCGTCTCTAGTAACTGACATGTGAAATGATGTTGGAAATGTTTGATATATACATTTTTTTTGTTGATCATTACTAAAATATTATTATTTTTTTAATATTTTGATTATTTGTTAATCTACTTGATATAACTTGAATTTATTTATTTTTTGGAAAAAAATTGACATGGAAAATACGATTTATTACTTTATATTTTCAATTATATGAGTTGTGGACTATTTGAATATATAAGAAGTTGTTTAACATATTACAATATATATGTTTAATATTTTTTTTTTTAAAATAAAGTCTTTAAAAGTCTCTAGTAAAAGTCTACACAAATCCATGAGAAACTTTTACTAATTCTTACCAAATACATAGAAATCACTTAAAAGTTCACAAAGTCCACAAAAGTCATCCACTTTAAAAAGTTTCCAAAAGTTTTTAAAAGACTCAATTGAATATGACATTAGGTTATGGATTTATGCGTTAGACGTTCTTTCTTTTCTTCCTTTTTTTTTTTTTTAAGTGAACGTGTTCCATTAATGACAAGATCGTGCCAAGAACTCAATTGAAACTTTTTGACTTTCATTTCATTTTTATATATATTTTTAAATAATTTGAAATGTGAGTTAGATATTTGGTTGAAGTGGCACGCTGTTAGTCGCCACACAAGATTACCGTCCTCCATGTCAGCAAAAGAGTTAAAAGATTTTAATGAGTAATGGTGGAGCGTAAATGGGATAAGTTCAGTAAGTAACTTGAAGCAATTTGAAGTTCGTGACCAATGTATAAGTTCAATGATTTTTGAAACATTTCACTCATGAGATAAGAGGTTGAAAATTATTCCCTCTATATATGGGGAAAAAAATTCTTAATCTCTCTCAACTTACGTGGTTCTTTTATCTTCTTCTTTCTCATTTTTTTTCTTGTAAAGAATAAAAGTTTCTGGTTGTGTTAGTGAACAATAACCTGATATTAGTAGGAGTGGTGAAAAAATAATGTTAGAAGAGGGAGAGATTTGACTGTGTGCTCTTAGTGAAAACTTGATTCTGAACCATTGCCTTGTTTTTGAGATTTTACTACTAGATTTGAGCGTAATCCAAAATGGATGCTTAAAATGGGATTAGATGTAGGAAGTGTAGAAAACAACAAACCAAAGATGAAGAATGGAGGAGAAAGAGAGAGAACCGATTGATAGCAGCCTCCAAACTTGGTTGCATAATGTAAGATTACAATGGTTTATATAGTACAAAACTAAGGAAACATAATAAAACTAAACTACCCTTAACCTAATTAACTTATTACATTAACATCCCCCCCCCCTCAAACTCACGATGCTACAACAAGGAGCAACGAGAGTTTGACCAACAAAAAGCGTAAATGATAAATCGAATTTGACTTCGTGACAAAGTCTACAAGCTGCAACGACGGAGAGCAACGAAAGGTAGGGAAATGATGCCGAACTACAGATAACCAACAAAACCACACAATCTCAGCTAAACCCACTGCAGATAACCAACGAAACCACACAATCTCAGCTAAGCCAAACGGATACAAATTTCAAATTCCAAATGAACTTGACATATCAATTCCAAGAACTGACTATGCAAAATTCCAAGCTCCAGATAGACTGGACAAACGAAATTTCTAATCCCATAAACTGGGCAAACAAACGAAATTTTCAAATCCCGTGAACCGGTCATCAAACAAAATTTGCATCCTGAACTAAGCACCAAACCAAATTTTCAATCCCACGAATTGGGCACAAATTTCAAATTCAAGCTCGACAAATGCCAAATTTAAGGCAACCACAGCTAACATCACATCCCCATCTTTCTCGTCACAATGAACTCATCAAAATTAGAATAGCAACAATATCCCAAAATTCCACAGCTAACATCAAATCCCCATCTTTCTCGTCACAATGAACTCATCAAAATCAGCATAGCAACAATATCCCAAAATTTAAACTTTAGCTCCTCTTCTCCATCCATCCATCCATTGAAAGCCCAAATAAAACTAAACCCATACCCAAACAATAACCAAGCCCAATAGTAAACTCAATTGACCAAAACCCAAGTTAAAACCCAACTCATAATCTATAGCCCAAATAATATTTCCACCCAATCAAACAAGCCCCATTTAACTCAAGCCCAACCTTCAGCCCAATTGCTCACAAATAGGTTAACCTAAAACATATACTACAGGCTACAGCCTATATGCCATATAACAAAGTACCCAATTAAATTACTGGCTCATTAGCTCAATAACCACCCCCAGCAGGCCCAACTAACCAATCCACTAAACCACAAACTCATAAATTTGAACCTAACAAACAAACAACCCATAACTAACCAGCCCAAGTATTATCAACTGGCCCAATCTACAACTTTGGCCCATTTCGGCAAACCCATCAACCCGGCTAGCCAACATAAACAAATCCATATTTTATTAACCAAAACCCACATATCATAGACCCAATTTCAGACTCCAGCAGTCCAGTACCTATCTACAGCCCATAACCCACGAAACCAAACCTGGCCCAATTTCCCCAACTTCATCTTCTCCAGCTCTACGGGTGCGACTGCCTCTCATTGACACCAACCCACATCCAACATCACCGACCACCATATGTGCCACTTCCTACAACCATAATACTCAACCCAACCATTGCTTCGACGCCTAACTCCAAATTCACAAACTATTGTAAACCCTTAACAAATGTCTCCCTCTTCATCTCGTACTCTGCACCCTCATTTCATTAACAATTTTTTTAGAAATTATCACTGTAATCCACCCTAGGTAACACCCTTGCCACAGCATTAGCCGCCCACCGGTCATAAACCAAACAAACCAACACCGGCCGACCACGCCATGACGATATGACCGAAACGGAGGACAAGGATTTGGTAACTTCAAAGGTCGAACCCCGCTCACCTGAAACCAAAGCCACCTGCTGCAACTACCAAATCACCTGTGGCTTCTCCATTTTATTATTTTTTTCTCCTCCCGCAACCACGAACATATCACAAAGTTTTGACCACCGGACGAGCGGCACAAGGCCGCTCGTCGGAGAACAACACCTTGCAAGTTTAAGCCAAAATCAAACCCGCTTTGATACCATGTAAAAAACAACAAACCAAAGATGAAGAATGGAGGAGAAAGAGAGAGAACCGATTGATAGCAGCCTCCAAACTTGGGTGCATAATGTAAGATTACAATGGTTTATATAGTACAAAACTAAGGAAAAATAATAAGACTAGAATACCCTTAACCTAATTAACTTATTACATTAATAGGAAGCGCTTACCAAAGGTCTAAAACTATGACCTAAAAATCTTTTGTTCTTCTATAATTTTCTTAATATTTTAATTTTGTCAGGTGCTAAGAGAGTGTCAATCTTCATAAGAGTAGATAGATTGAACAATTTATATGCTTTGGATATCTTACTTACTCTGAGAAAGACACACTTTTCACTTTTAGCGTCAAAATTCTTTTCCTCATCAGGGACATCTAAATAAGCAATGCAACCAAAAATTTTGAAATGATCTACAGTAGGTCTTCCCTCACTTCAAGCTTCTCCTAGTGTCATGTTTTGAACCGCAAAAGTAGGATTCATGTTCAAGACATGAATGCACCAATTCACTGCTTCCGTACAAAAAATCTTCGTATTCTCCCTCTTACGGCAACCTTTTCGCCATGTTTAGAATAGTTCTATTTTTCCTTCCTGATAAACCATTTCGTTACGGTATATAAATGACTTTGAGTCGTCTTCGAATATCAGGAGCATCACAAAAACCTTCAAATATGTAGGCTTTTAATGATTTTGCCCATTTTATTTTCAACATTTGCCTTGAATATTTTAAATGCACTAAAAGTTTCCTTTTCGATTATAATCGTCAATGAAGGTAATTAAATATGTGAAATAAAGAAAAAGGCCATCCAGTTGAGCCCTTTGAAATTTTTTCAGCCTCTTTTCTTGCCTACAGAATTGAATCCTTTTGTTATATGTGCTCTACGTGGAGGAAATATCACATGATGTCGTCCACTCAGATTACCTTCAATGGAACTCTTACAAGTTGTAACATTGTCATAGCTAGATAGATATAACTTTCTTTTGTTTTTTCACAATTGATTCTATCATGCTAATTACTTTTAAAAAGCTGTTATTATGATTAATAATGTAGACATGATTC